ATTAGTTAATCACCTCATTGTGCTCACCTGTCTGTCCCTCGTTAACTGCCCTATATCTGTTCCTGTCTCTGGTGTTCTAGTTTGTCGGTTATTGTGAATGTTACCCTGAGTGTGTGTGTGTCTCATCTACCCGTATCTGCCTTGTTGTCTCTACATTAAACATCCTTATTTGAATCCCTGTCGTCCTCGTCATCCTGCCTGCCTCCACACACCTTGACCGTGACAATAACACTGTGCACCTTCTACAGTATATATAAGTATTTCCCTCCTCAGCTTGTGGAAAAGCTGTTTGTGATGAGCTTTCATCATATGACTTTCTCATCACCACCTGTTTTTGGTGGTTGTCAGTGTATTTCAATGTTACAAAACAGATATTAGTATTTCAATAGGTTGGTATATTAACATTATATCAGTTAATGGAATACTTTTTTTTTTTTACTGTGAATTTAAGATAATTCAGTAAAACCTAAAATGTTGATAACGTATTTTTGCGGGTAAAGTTCTGGCAACCACAGCTGCCGGTATTTTACCGTAAATGTTACAGATTTTATTTTTATTTTTTTTACAACGTATGCTTTGCAACTGAAATTATCTCAAATCTGATACTACCGGTATTTGATTAGTTTAAACCCAAGTTCAATACAAGCTCAATGTTTACTACCAGAAAAAAAACTATTTTCTACTTAGGAAAAATCAATGTTACAGCGAGCCACTTATACCGGACGTGAATAACATACTGTAAATGTTAACCCTAATGTAAATGTTAATACTAAATGTTGCAATAGTATAGCCACAAGATGTAAACAATATGTATTTTAGCATGATTTTAGTGTAAAAATCGCTTATAAATGTTTTCTGTGTAAATGTAACTAATTTTACAGCTTAGTTGTCATGACAACGCCATAAACAGCAAACCCAAAAATGATTGTAAAAATTACTATTTAGAAAGTTGTAACAGAAGAATTGCGTTTGTAACATTATAAACATCATATTTCTGTTTTAAATTTCCCAGAAATGGGCCCCATTCACTTCCATTTTAATTGTCTCACTGTAACCTTTGCCGTTTTTTAAAGAAATTGAGTGCGAGTCGAAATCATCATTATTATTTTTTAAGGTAACCAATATTGTGCCATATATTTTGTCAATTGTGCTTAACTTGTATTAAACCCAGAATATTCCTTTTAATTCCTTAAAGGATGTAACAACTGCTAGAGGATCAATCATTTTGACAGCATTATCTCCTAATATATTACTGATTTCCATCAGGACTCTACAAATAACAGAGAATCAAACAACATATGGCACTGCTTGTTTAAATTCATCATCCGCTCTGAAATGCTTGACAGTTCGTCATGTAGAATCTGTTTTTGCGCCAAGAGGATTCTCCAGGAAAATAGCACTTGTTTCTAGACTAGTGTTATATTTCTGCAGTCAATTGTGCAGCCTAACATAGAAATTGAAATCATTTACATGCTGATTGAAAAACCTTTATCTTCTTGATGGGAATGAGAGGTCTGTCTGATGATCGACATCAAAAAACCTGTTGTTTGTAAATCAGCACATTTATATGAGTTTTTTTTTTCCTTTTAGCACATTCTCTTTATTCTATTTGCTTAACACATCACTCAGCATGTGTATTTAGAAATGATTTATATTTATTATATATTTTATTTTATTTAGTTTATATTTTAGTCTTGTTTTAAGGGTTTGTTTATCTCCGCAGAACTCTACATCTGTTATTATATTAGTAAGGCATCAAAATTCAGTCTATTTAGAGAATAAGTTGAATTTCTTCAGTCTGCAATAGAAAAAAGTAACATTGTCTATAAGGTCATTTAAAATGCACTCAAATGTTTAAAATAAGCAGAAGTTATGACCACAAAAACGAACGAATGTTCATCTATTCATCTATAAAACTTTCCAGGCGCAAACTGTCAATCATTTGAAAAGAAACTAAACTCAATGTAGTTTAGACAGCCCTTATATTGAGTTTCACGAACAGCTTCACATAGACTTTTGTTCATTCACTCCCATTTGAGATAATTAACCTGACGTTATCCTTATGAGCAAAAGACAACGTTAAATTAACCGTTAATGCCAAACGTTAAGACAAAATAGACCGAGAGAAGACTTCCATATGCTTTTTATGAATACAGTACGATATTTGCGAGTAAATTATGCATACGGCTGCGTTCAGATACACCTCTATTAGAGTATATACTAAGAAAAGAGACGTTTACCTTTATGTCAGTGTGTTGCCTCAGATCTGTCAGACGCGGATGTGTCCAGCGCTCGCGCGCGCTTCCACTGAAGACAGTCCGGTGATTCCTGACTGACTGGATGGATGGAAATACTCACCGGCTCTTCCCCGCTGCCGTTCAGATACACCTCTATTAGAGTATATACTAAGAAAAGAGACGTTTACCTTTATGTCAGTGTGTTGCCTCAGATCTGTCAGACGCGGATGTGTCCAGCGCTCGCGCGCGCTTCCACTGAAGACAGTCCGGTGATTCCTGACTGACTGGATGGATGGATGGAAATACTCACCGGCTCTTCCCCGCTGCTTAACTCTATCTGTCGATTACAAAAGAATGTTTTCATCGCATGTTTTAACTGCGTTAATTGTTTCTAAATCTTCTGCAGTTCTGGACGACTTTTTGTGTCTGTACGTCCTTTTGAAGTCGTTGGAGAAAAATGAGAGAGAGTCGTGCCGAATATTCACCGAATTAAAACGGCGTTGTTGTTCCCTGGCAACGTGTAAAACATGGACTGAACGGCTGCGATTAGACGAGCTCGTTACGGAGCAGCCGCTGATGTCAAGCTTTACACACGCACCCAAACTCTCTGCCAGCACCAAACCACACACTCATTTACTTGATTGCACTTCATACTAATGTCTATTAAGAACATTAACTATAACATTATAATGGTTCAAGATTATTTGAAACTTTAATTTGCATTATGCTGTGAACAGTTTTTTCCCCCTGCACTGAAGCAAATGATTCGAGTTTGAATCTCCCAAACCTGTCCCATACATGTCATATTTCACCCCAACCACAAATTATATTTTGCATAGAGAAAATGAAACCTATTTTTAATAGTTGCAGCATTGTCATAATAACAGAATACTTTTCCAACCAATTTTCATTAATGTATAAGAGTAGGCTAATGAGAATCATAATGGTGTTTAAAAAAAGCTTTATGAAAAATGTTTTTATTTTATTTTTTTCTCTTTCTGTATTATTCCTCCCACTCAAACACGTCAAGCTCTCAAAATGCCTCTTTGCAGTATTACACAGTTTGAGTATTGTTGATTTAATCAAAGGCTTTCAAAATGATTTGCTCTTAGCCACCATTTTTTAAACCATATGTGGATTCTGTTCTCAGACTAACAGAGAATACATTAAGTTTTTATTTGGACATTAGTTATTCGCCATGCAGATCTGTAATACATCAGAGTGGGAGACTGTGGCTCACTGATGTTGGGCTTTTGGGTTCTAGAGTTCCTCTGGCTCCAAAGATCTGGCACTATCTGTGCGGAGCAGAACAGAGGCTTTGTTTTTGTGGCGACAGGAGAGGAGCACATTCATCTGGCAAAGATACACATGGACAGACACACACACACACTTAGAAAGAGACCCACAAAATAAAAAGAGAGACACATAAGTGCACTCGTATACAGCTCATTGAGATGAAATTTCTTGACACTCCATCGTACCTCAGAAGGAAATGAAGACAAACTCATGCATTCTGTCCCCACTGTTATGTAAATGTCTGGCATCTTATGCATCTATTCATCCTCTATTCTATATACATACAGTGAAACTGTAAAAGATCATTTTTAAATATTTGAGCATGTTTAAAATCCTTTGCAATTATGTGACATCACAACCAGTACTGTGCGTAAGAATCTGTTTCCGCCACATAATTATATTTGCTCAATACTGTTATAGTATGTCAAAATTTTGTACATTCCATAAAACTGTTCTCCTTAATTTGAGATATTTGGAGTAATTTTGAGCAACAGTCATCTGTATGAGTGACTCGTGTCCACAAGGGGCTTGTGTGCCTTGCACTCGCTTCGTAAATCTGTTTTTGAGGTTTGACCCTCAGGAACACTGACTGCAGTGAATAATTTGTAATATATAATTATTCACGGTATTTAGAAGTGCCCACGATAACAATATCGTGCATATTCATTACCGTGATATATCGCATTACCGAATACCGGCACAAGTCTACTTGGATGCTAATTGCCCAATAAGGCCTTCCAGTCATACATGCATGTACAATAGAGTGCTTTATGCCCGCCCATTTTTTCAGCGCCATTGGTTCCAGAAGTATTTTTGTCCGTTCATTTTTGTCATAAGCATTATAAAAAAAAAAACTCTCCATTAAAGCCTTATAAAAAACAGACAGGTACAAGACAGCTTTAGTGAGGGAAAGAACTACAATACCATGAAGCAATGCGAAGGACATAGTCAAATTAAAAATGATGGAGAAATATAAAACTATTAATTAAAAGTTGTTGATTATATCTGTAAAAACAATATATTTTAAGTTTACAGCATCATGGGTAATGTAGTTTTTCACCACATATTCACCTGTTAAACACGATTATATTAAAAATGTTGAAATAATGTGGCTTCAACAAATGCATATACCATTGATTAACAAACTCACAGTATGAACTCCTAGTATGTCTGTCTTTAAAGGTTTGTAAGTTACGGTTAAAAATCTATTTTCTCTATTGTTTCCCAATAAAGAAAATGGATGGAATAAAATTCCTGTAAACAAAGCTCCACATTAGAACTCTTAGGTTTACCTAGCTCAGAAAAACTAAATGAAATTTACTCTAATTCATCCAAAGACCTGAAGTGACAATGTGAACACAGAGGTTTAATGATTTTCTATTGCTTTATTTCACCCAGCGACCCTGAGAAAATAGTTTTTATTAGGCCAGAGCTTTTATTGGGCTAGAGCTTTCCATGGAGTATTATTATATGCACTTTTCAATCTTTTTGTTTTTTTTCAGTTGTTATGCGTAAAGCCCAGTGTGAAAGACAGCCTTCATGTAGGTGTTTTGTCAGAATGAACCATGTTTTTGTGTGCTCAAGTCTGTCTGCAAATGAAGTAAAAGAAAAGGTTGAATAAAGCCAGTGGAGGTGTATTTCTTTCTCTGACCTTTTTATTCTTTAATGAGTGTCTGCTGTCTGGAAGCACCAACTATGCTAATGAACAGACTAGCAATGAAGAAAATGCTATTAAATCACAGCACTGAATTACACTTCAGAATGCTGTCATAATGTATCACAACACTTTCAATATAAGAGTGCTGGGATTGGGAACCAGAAGTACCAGAACTGAATGGCGTGTACTTGCGAACGGAACGCTGTTGTAAAATACTGAACCACATATTTAGCAGTGCGCTACTGAATCTATAAGCTACACTGGTTCACAAAATGCGACAACGCGACTTGTACAATTCAATTCAGCATGTTGTTTGATTCCCGATGACTCTTACGTGCCGGTTCTTTTTATAATCATACACACAAAGAACCGGTGTGATCTGATTCCCTAACAAATTACTTTTATGACTTTTGCCAAGTATGCCTACTTCCAAACTATATATTATGCTAAACAGTAACAACATGGCATATATACATGTGAATTTCATCCGTTCTACCCATTCATATTATTTAAAACAAACTTTTTGACGTTTCAAACCAAACGTAGCACCTACTAGCAAATTCAGACAAACCTTATGAGCCGTGTCTTTTAGTGAACCATAAGCCTACAATGCAACCAGTGTAGTGCAATTTCCAAACGACTGACTCAGATGATCTGGTTCTTTTTAGTGATTCAAACTTGCACAGCATAACCAATAAAGTCTGACTCCTCAGTGAATGACTTCTCTGAACCGGCTCTTTCTAGTGAATCAGAAGTACGGTCCCCAATCAAATGACTCTTCTTAGTGAATCAGAAACACACAACTAGCAAATCAATGATACATATTATACAAATATTAATGAAATATGTTTAAGGCCAGTTATTAGATTGTGCTTATTGCATTGTAGTCTGATTGTCTGTTTGTATTTTATATTTCAGTTTTATATATTAGTGGTTTTCCATTATGTTTGTTATATTTAGGGTCAGGGGGTTGTTTTAAACCTGCAGCCAGTCAAAGGATTCCTAGAAGGAGATAAAGGAATTTATCTTTGTTGGTTTGAGCTCTGGTGAACATCTCTGAATTTGTGGAGAATGACTTTTGTCCTCATGAATTCAGGTGAAATAATGACTGCCAAAGTGCAGGTTCTATTGCGTTGTAGAGCTCATCAACTGTGTTTTGGCCTCACTTTTCAGACAGACTGCCTTGCATGAGAAAGATCCCTCTTTATGCTCTGAGGGGTCCTGCTGTATGTGTCTCTGTCTCATCTGCATGGCAGTCAAGCTCCGACTGTGTTTTATGCTCCTGAGGAGAAGCCTCAGGTCCTTCTATACACACGCACACACACACACACACACACGCACACAGAGGCTTGAGGAAAATAGCGGCCTGGAATTCAAATGAATGTACTACAGGCATACAAAGGTGATTTCTAATATCTGTGGGTGTCAGCTCCCTTTTTCAAATGACTGGATTTGAATTTCTAGTTTTTTGAATATAGGTGTAAAAAAGTTCGTAGATCGGGAAGAAGGAGGCGGGAACCGGCGAACATTTAAACATAACTTTAATAATAAAATAAACACAAAACTGAAAATAGTGAGACAGCCCCTCACGGACGACTGCCGCGCACAAACAGAAACAAAACAACATAAAGTCCAGGCCTATTCCTCTCTCGTCCTTCACTGTCGTCGCTCCTCCTTTTATCCTTCCGGAGCTCCTCTGTGGGACTCGAGACCGGTGAGTGGCGCAGGTGTTGCGCATTGCCAATTAGTCCACCGGCCTCGCTCCGTTCCCACGGCTCTCGGCCCTGCCCCACTCGTCACAAAAGGTAAGGTACGGGTACAGGGAAGGGAAAGGTAAGGTAAGGGACGGGACGTGTAGCCAATCACTCCTCTCACCTACAATCCCTGCCAGTACCGAGACTCGAACCCGCAACCTTTGGGTTACAAGTCGACTCTCTAACCATTAGGCCACGACTGCACGGATTACTTAAAGGAATAGTCTTCTAAAAACTGAATGTCCTGTCATTTATTTGCTTGACCTCATGCTGTGACAAATCCATAAGCTGTTTTCTGTGGAACAGAATGAAATGTGTTGTGTTTAACACCCGATCAAGCCCTCCATTTGAGAT